TTGTTGTCTTTAGCTGGCCCGGGCTGGGTTTGAACCCGCCAGCCCTGGTGTATGTGGCCAGCACCCCAGCCCCTGAGCTACAGGCGCTGAGCCTATCTTCTTTCTTAAAAGAGCCCCAGCTTAGCCTCTTGTCTTTTGGAAAAGAAGGTTACTCATCAGTAAAGTATCTGTTGTTGTTTTTCTAATCAGCCATGTGTACAATGTCCCATTTCCATTCTTTCACCCAGACTCTGGTGCTTTGGAAATGAGGACTTGATCCCGAGGTTTGCATTTAGAATTCCTCTCCTGAGAGAGCTGAATGAGCAGCTGCATTATTTAAGGCTCAATGTAAACATCCTGTCCCATGCCTGTTTGATTCCTCAGGATTGATGTTGGACTTTGAGCATAATATTAGCACATTAACTGTCATGTAAGTTGCATTTAACTTATGCTAGTTTGGAACCTGGGGCCTCATGAACCATGTGTAACTCACAGGTATCTCGATTTAATATAACATAATGGCCCTAAGAAAAAAATATTTCTTTTCTAGTATGGCAGTCAGTGTACTAAATGATACATACTATAGTTGAACTTAGCAAATACAGACTGAAACCATTTTAAGTAGTGAAGCACTAAAAAAATTCACTAAGATTTGATGTAGGTCCTGGCCTCAGTGAACTCACTGTCTCCTACAGAAGACAGACCTCCATACAGACAATCGCAGTATATCACGATGAGGGCAACGGTAGAGACATGTGCTAGCTAACACAGCGGCGTGGAAGACAGGCAGCTAGCCTGGCAGGGGTGCTCAAGGAGATGACCTTGGGGATCCAACACTTAAGGATGAGTAGATGTTCATCAGGTGAAAACCTTCAACTCTATTTTGATACATTTTAAGCATAACATGCTGTTAATAAAGCTCAGGTTATAGGTTTCCCCCCTCGGATGTGCTGTTTGCAAGGATAAAACATGCCCCTAACGTAAATCTCACCCTTCTCCCTAGCTGGTGGCAGAAAGATAGCAATGTCAAGGGCAACTCAGCCATGTGACTAGGAAAAAAACAGGATTTTACATGCAAAGGTCAGCTCCATAGGAACATTTTTAAAGGAGAATTTGAAGTTATAATGGTAGAGATCTCATTTTCGTAAGGAAAGAGTAATTCCCTACCATAAATGAAAGCACTAATTTATACAGCACACAATATCATGTTGAGTAGATTTTTTAATGTATGTTATACAACACAATGTTTTGATATATGTGTATACATACATACGTATATATATCATCGTGAAGAATGACTGAATCAATCATTATCATTATCTCATACTTATCATTTTTGTGACAAGGACATTTAAATCTACCCTCTTAGCAATTTCCAAGTAAACAAAGTGTTATTAACTAATGTGATGTACATCTCGTAAACTTACTCCTCCTCCCTAACCGAAACGTTGTATCCTTTAACATGTCCCCAATTCCTTGTTCCCTGGCACCCACCATTCTACTCCCTGCTTCTGTGAGTTCAACCTGTAAGTGAGATCATGTGGCATTTGTTTTTCTCTGCCTGGCATATTATACTTTACATAATGTCCTCCAGGTTCATCCATGCTGTACAAAGGACAAGATATCCTTTCTTTGTAAGGTTAAATAGTATTCATTTGTGGTTCGGTGCCCGTAGCACAGTAGTTACGGTGCCAGCCACATACACCGAAGTTGGCAGGTTCGAACCCAGCCTGGGTCAGCTAATGAATAATGACAACTGCAACAAAAAAATAGCCAGGACTTGTGGCAGGTGCCTGTAGTCTCAGCTACTTGGGAGGCTGAGGCAAGAGAATCACTTAAGCCCAAGAGTTTGAGTTTGCTGTTTATAAGTGTATACCACATTTTCATTCAGTGATGACTGCTTAGGTTGATTTCATATCTGAACTATTGTGCATAAAGATACCTCTTCAATACTAATTCTGTTTCCTTTGGATGTATATTCAGAAGTAAAATTGACAGACTGTACAGTAGTTCTATTTTTAATTTTTCAAGGAATTTCCATAGTTTTCCATAATGGTTGTACTAATTTATATTCCATATCCACACTAACATTCATTATCTTGGATTTGTTTTGTTTTGTTTTTGAGACAAGTCTTACTCTGTCACCTGGGCTAGAGTGCAGTGGCATCACAGTTCACAGCAACCTCAAACTCCGAGGTTCAAGCTATTCTGCCTCAGCCTCTCAAGTAGCTGGAACTACATGTGCATGCCATCACGCCCAGCTGATTTTTCTATTTTTTTGTAGAGATGGGGTCTGGCTCAGGCTGACCTCCATCTCCTGTCCTCAAGCCATCCACCTGCCTTGACCTCCCAAAATGCTAGAATTACAGGTATGAGCTCCTGCACCCTGCCTGTCTTTTTGAGAATAGCCATTCTAACAGGTGTGAGAAGAGAACTCATTACAGTTTTAGTTTGCATTTTCCTGATAATTAGTGATGTTGACCTTTTTTTTTTTTATTTTGGTAACTATAATTCAAAGGGTGGTAAATTTTATGACATACAAATAAAAGTAAGATTTTGTAGAAAATACAAATTTAGTTCTAGCATCAGGAAAATCTTTTTATCTGCCAATTTTTGCCTGTTTTTTTTTTTCCAAAATATTATGAATGTACAAATGTTTTGGTTACATGAATTTGAGTCAAAGTCGTAAGTGTGCTTATTTCCTGGAGAGTGTGCATTGTACCCGTTAGGTGTGAACGAGCCCCTCCTCTTGGGCCCCTCCCACCTGCTTGCTTTCCCTTGAGTTTTACTAACGAATGTGCACGTAAGCGTCAGTCAATTTGTTCCAATTTCATAGTGAGTACATGTGGTGTTTCTTTTTCCATCCTTGTAATACTTCACTTAGAAGAATGGTCTCCAGTTCTATCCGGGTAAGTACTCCTTGGTGTACATATACCACATTTTGTTAATACACTCATGTATTGATGGGCACTTGGTTTGATTCCACATTTTTGCAATTGTGAATCACGCTGTTTTAAACTTTAGGGTGCAAGTGTCTTTTTGATAAAATGACTTTTTTTTCCTTTGGGTAAATGCCCAATAATGAGATTTCTGGATCAAATGATAGGTCTACTTTCCTTGAGGTATCTTCATATAACTTTCCATAGACACTGTACTAGTTTGCAGTCCCGTCAACAGTGTATAAGAGTTCCTTTCTCTCTGCATCCATGCCAGCATCTGTTGTTTGGGAGTTTTTTTTGATAAAAAGCCATTCTCACTGGAGTTAGTTGATATCTCATTGTGGTTTTGATTTGCATTTCCCTGATGATTAGAGACCTCAAGCATTTCTTCATGTTTTTTGGCCATTAGCATATCTTCTTTTGAAAAGCATCTGTTCATGACTTTTACCTACTTTTTTAAGGGGTTGTTTGATTTTTTTTTTCTTGCTTATTTGCTTGAGTTCTTTGTAGATTTTGGTTACTAGCCCTTTATTAGATATATAGCATGCAAATATTTTCTCCTGTGCTGTAGGTTGTCTGTTCACCCTACTGATTGTGTCCTTGGCTGTGCATAAGCTTTTTATTTTTTTTTTATTAAATCATGAACACATAGATCATGTATACATTAATGCATTTATGCGGTAAAATGTACTGATATCACATAGAATTAGGAACGCTTACGTCACACTGGTTAATATATACCTCATCTCGTATACTTAATTATTGTGTTAAGACATTTATACTCTATACTAATAGATCCGACATGTATCCTTACATTATGCATCATAGGTGTGATCCCACCATTCACCCTCCCTCAATCTAACCTCCCCCCTCCCTTCCCTGCATAAGCTTTTTAATTTAATCAGGTCCCATTTGCTAATTTTTGTTGTTGCTGTGATTGCCTTTGGGGGTCTTCTTCATAAACTCTTTGCTTAGGCCAATGTCTGTAAGAGGTTTTCTAACGTTTTCTTCTAGAATTCTCATAACTTCATGCCTTGGGTTTAAGTCTTTCATCCATTGTGAATTATGTTTTGTAAGTGGTGAGAGGTGCAGGTCCTGTGTCAATCTTCTACACGCAATTATCCAATTTTTCCATTTATTGAATGGGGATTTTTCCCCCAGTATATGTTATTCCCTGGTTTAGCAAAGATCAGATGGTTTTAGACCTGGGTTTTCTGTTCTGATCCATTAGTCCATGTCTGTGTGCTTATGCCAGTACCTTGCTATTTTGGTTACAATAGCCTTAAATCCAGCAAAGTGATGCCTCCTGATTTGACCTTTTTGCTTACAGTTGCTTTAGCTATTTAGGATCTTTCTTGTTCCATACAAAGAGTAGAATTATTTTTCTAAATCTATGAAAAATGACATTGTTATTTTACTGGGGACCGCATTGATCAGTTTGGGAAATATAGACATTTTAAAAATTTTAATTTGCTGATCCGTGAGCATAGTATGTTTTTTTCCATTTATTTATATCCCCTGCAATTTCCTTTCTCAGTAACTTGTAGTTCCCCTGTAGACGTCTTTTACATCCTTAGTTAAATATATTCCTGGGTATTTCTTTGTTCTTTGTTGCTATTATGAAAAGTATTGAGTTTTTCATTTGATTCTCAGCTTGGCTGTTCTTGATATATATGAAAGCTACTAATTTGTATACATTGATTTTGTAAGCTGAGACTCTGATGAATTTATTTACCAATTCCAGGAGTCTCTTGAGAGAATCTTTGGGGTTTACTGGATGTAAAGTCATATTGTCGGCGAAGAGTGATGGTTTGGCCTCTTCTATCCATATTTGTATAACCTTGATTTCCTTTTCTTGTCTGGATGCTTAATTCAGTATTACATTGAATAGAAGTGGTAGCAATGAGCATCCTTATCTCATTCCTGATCTTAGGATGAGAAATGAATTTTTTACCACTGAGTAGATGTTAACGGTGGGTTTGTCATATGTAGCTTCTATTGTGTTGAGATACATTCCTTCTGTTGCTGATTTGCTGAGATTTTTATCATGAAAGGATGTGAAATTTGCCAAAGCTGTCTCCTAGCGTGAGCAGGACTGATTGCCAACTATAGCTGAAGGGTAGTGGAGCTGTGTTAGAGGGTCATTTCTGGGCCCCACCTAAGACCAAGGTGGACAGAGCTGTCTCCTAAGGCACTGGCATGCTTGATTCCTCTTGGACCTTTTGACCAGTGCTTTTAGTTGTAAGAATAAGTCCAAACAGGACTGTAGCAGCCATATGGCAAGTGAGAGTTATAAGTAACATCTGTATAGCTCTATAATGGAACACCTTGGTGAAAAGGGCATGGGGATTTAGCTCTTCTAGCATGAGAGAGCTCACAAGACAAGAGCAGCAGCAATTGCTACACCTGTGGTGTAAGAGCCATTTGATCAGCTCCATAAGAGGCTGGAGGAGAAGGCAGGCGGGAGTGAGGTCATTCTATCACGGACCGGCTTACTCTGACTCTGTCCCTTCTGCTTGCAGAACGCGTCTCTCTGCTAAAGATGGCTAAGCTCTGCTAAAGGCTGCTAAGATCTATTCTTCTAAGACTGCTTCTCCCTCAAAGACTATTTCTCTCTCTCTCTCTCCCTTCTGCTAAAGCAAATAGCCCTCAGGCATCTAAGAGCAACTGTTTCTAAGCAAGGTAGCCTAGCTGTCAGGAACCTAGATAAGCAGGGAGCTAGAGACCTGGACAGTCCCAGCCCAACCAGTGGCAATGATACAGGACTAAAGCTGAGCCTGCAAGGGGGCAGGACCATGTCAGAATCTGGAGCTAGGAGAGTCTTCTTTTTTTTGAGACAGAGCCTCAAGCTGTCCCCCTGAGTAGAGTGCCGTGGCATTACAGCTCACAGCAACCTCCAACTCCTGGGCTCAAGCAAGTCTCCTGCCTCCACCTCCCAAGTAGCTGGGACCACAGGCGCCCGCCACAACGCCCGGCTATTTTTTGGTTGCAGCCGTCATTGTTGTTTGGCGGGTCCGGGCTGGGGATTCGAACCCACCACCTTAGGTGTACATGGCTGGTGCCTTAGCCGGTTGAGCTATAGGCGCCGAGCCAAGCTAGGAGAGTCTTCTACCTGCGTACAGGTCTGACCTCCCAGAACAACTCACCAAGGTATTGCGCTCCACTGGTGTTTCATGTACTCCTACCTGAATCCCAAGGCTCCTGCATCCACAGTTTGTGGATGTGGATGGCTAGGAGATTTTTATGCTGTGGAGATACCCAAGTGGGGTACTTCCTAGTCTCCCATCTTGCTGAGTAATCCTTTTTTTCATTCCTTAAATTTGGAAACATTGTATGTCACCCCCCAACACAAAATAGACATTTAAACCTTGATTAGGCTGGATATTTATACAACTCAAATATTAACTTTTCTCATTCTCACTCAGCTTAAATATGAAAACAATAAAGAAGTCTTTTCCAGGTGAGAAAACAAAATCCAGATGATCTATCTTGTATTTTAATGAGAGAAATGGTAATAATACTATAGAGAATAAAATATTTTTTACTCTACAACATATACTTACAACTGTATTTACTGAAATTCACATGTGGCAGTCTAAGAATCTGTAATTCATTTAGACAAGTAACAAAACTGTACTACAAAGTCAGCATCCATAGCTCAGTGGGTAGGGTTCTGGCCACATACACCCAACCACATACACCAGGTTTGAACCCGGCCTGGGTCAGCTACAACAATGACAACTGCAACAAAAAAAAAATAGCCAGGCATTGTGGCAGGCACTTGTAGTCCCAGCTACTTGGGAGGCTAAGGTAAGAGAATTGCTTAAGCCCAAGAGTTTGAGGTTACTGTGAGCTGTGACACCACGGCATTCTATCCAGGGTGACACCTTGAGACTCTGTCTCAAAAGAAAATTGTACTACAAAGAGCAATTTCTGGAAAGCTGAAAAGTTGTTCAACTTCTATATTCACCTTCTTGTCAACCTATTTCTGTGCGGGGTTAAAATTCCCCTCTTCTTTTTGCTTCATAATTGAGGTGAGCAGAGATTTTTTTTTTTTTTTTTTTTTGCAGTTTTTGGCCGGGGCTGGGTTTGAACCCACCACCTCTGGCATATGAGGCCAGCGCCCTACTTCTTTGAGCCACAGGCACCACTCAGATTTTTTTATAAGTTATGCCAACTGCCAAGGTTAACAGAATTAGTCTTTTTTTATCCTGAGCTTGAGGAAGAAAGAGTTCCAAATTAAAATTTCACGTTACCCAGTGGCCAAAGGCTGCATTCAACATAAATAATCAGAAAAGCATATAAAATACAATAAGGAAAATAGATTAAATATATGCAGTCATTCTATTGAACCAATGTGACTAGCTAGTACGCAAATAAAGAAACCACTCTATTCTCCTACTGACACTTTAAACTTACTCTGTGTGGCAAGTTCTTTTTCTTCTCTGGAGGAAAATCCTGAGTGGGTCTCATAGTTCCTGTTTGTTTAAATCACAGAAACAGTCTCGTGTCAGTCATTAAACTATCTGTCCCCATGTAATAATGATACTTTCAAATACCCACTTGGAGCTTTTTTCCTCCCTCCCAGCTTGGTATTTCTCTGGGCCTGGAAGCCAGAAGAGGGTGAGAGGGTCTATGGATGGCTTGTTCTTACTGACCAGCTCCTCTTATATTCCGTAGCTGCTGTTTCTCGCCGTTCCAGAAATGGTTCCAGAAGGGCAAAAGATAAGGAGAAAGGGGCTAGAAATATTGTGATCATGCCAGAGGGCTTGGTGGATGTGCGGTGCTTCCATTTCTCTCACTTGCCAGTGGCACTTCAGGGAAGAAGGGAATTCTTGTCCTCAGACAGAGTCTTTTTCAAGCTGGTCCCAGAGCTCTCCCTCTTGCCAGTCCCTGGGTCCAGGGGCCACACTTGCACATTTGGACCTTGCCCCTGCTGCTTTCCCCTCCCTCCCTTTCTGTTCCGAGCCACAGCCTTTCATTTCAGTCCTGTACTCCCCAAACTCCAGGGAGCATAGGTCAGATCACGTAAAGGGACCCTCCTGAAGTGCCGACTGTTTAAGATGGGTCCACTCCGCCTCCATTCCACATGGCACTCTGGCATTCCAACAATTCTCTCTGCAGGATTTTTTTTTTCCCCTCTAAATTCTTAAGCCTCCTCTGTTCAATCCTTAGCCATTTCTTATACATGCTTACTTTACATGATGAGCTAAGGGTTTGCAAAAAACTTGTTTTCAGAAATCCGCTCGGCAAACGGCTTGCTGGTAGGTTAGCATCAGGCTTTGTAATGAGGACATTCAAAGGCTCCTCTGCTTGAGGTCTGAGGGTCCCATTTTAACCTTCTGTTACACAAACCAGTGGCAAAATAGCCTTAATCGGTGGGTAAGAATGCCAGGAACAAATATCATTCAGAAAAAAATAGATATTTATAAGCTGGATATGGAATCTGAGTCCCCTCCTTCTCTTGTCCTGACAGGGACCAGCTAGCTGAGATGTCATATACCACGATGTGCATCAAGGAGATGTTCCGCTTCATCTCTCCAATTCCAACCATTTCCAGAGAACTCAGCCAGCCCCTCACTTTCCCAGATGGATGCTCGCTGCCTGCAGGTCTCTGTGCTCTTTTCCTAAGTGGTTCCTTGAGACGGTGGGGATCACACAGTGACAAAGATTGGTGCATTTCTTAGCACTTGGAGAAGACAAAAGATAATCTTAAAGGCATCTAGCTTACGGTTGGACACCTAGCAAGAGCTCAGAGGATAATGCCTTGTGAGATGAAATTTGAATGACGTTCCCAAAGGCAGCAAAGCTAAGCCCAGAACCCGTGTCTCTGGAATCCCAGCCCAGGGGTTCTTCCATAGTGGGACATTACTTTGAAGTTAATCTTTCTTTTTTCTGAGACAAAGTCTCACTAGGTTGCCCTTGGCAGAGTGCTGTGGCACCACTTAACCTCAAACTCTTGGGCTTAAGTGATTCTTTTGCCTTAGCCTCTCGAGCAGCTGGGACTTCAGGTGCCCGCCACAACGCCCGGCTATTCTATTGTTGCAATTGTCATTGTTGTTTAGCTGGCCTGGGCCGCATTCTAACCTGCCAGCCTCAGTGTATGTGGCCGGCTCCATAACCACTGTGCTATGGGTGCCAAGCCAAGTTAATCTTTCTTTGACTGTGTTCGAGACCCAGATGAAACTTCACGGAAGATGAACACCATTATCTCTGACTGAGAAATCAGTGGAGGGGGAAAGATTTAGCCTCATCAACCTAATAGAAATATGGGACATTTAACAGTTTATATGGAGCCTTTTCCTCTTGGAACATGACCTTAATAGACACTTAGTAATTCATAGTTTACTAAATACTTCTAAACATTTCCAATGTCGATAACTCCCCCTGCCCTGGGGAACATCAATATGCAGATGAGGTTAACTGACAGGAGCAGAGCTAGAACTTGTGCAGAGGCTCTGAGCCTGGCGTCTCCAGTCTTCACAACAGCACAGGTTTCTGAGCAGGGCTCGTAGGAGGCAGAGAGGACATGAGACACCCTTTCACTTGTCCACATTAATGTTCTATTAATTCATGCCTTCAGAAGCAAGCAACAGGATTGATTGTAAACATCTATAGCCTGTCATAAGCCTTGTTGACAGATTCTGAATTAATTTACCAGAATTATTTCTGGTAACCACATAATCCTTAAACTCACTCTCCTTTATCTTTTCTTTTTACTCCAAAACCATATGGATAGTTATCAAAATTCCCCACTTCCATGTGTGAACAACAGAAATTTGTCCCTGGATCTGCATGATGAAATCACAGTTCTATTCTTAGTACCCAACTGTCTGTGCTGGCACATTTTATCACTTTGATATGACACCAACGGCTCCTTACTTATGAATTAGGTTATTGCCTTGAAAACTAAGGTGCCACCCCAAGCCACTGGTGGCCTCAGCTATAGTACATAGAGCTCTGCCAGGAGCAAGCTCTTCCCTTCAAGAAGAACTGAAAAGCAGGATGGAAGTAGCCCACAACTTGGTTTGTCTCCTGAAATCTCTTTTATTTCCCTCCTTTCTCAGGAATGAACGTGTTTCTCAGTATTTGGGGTCTTCACCACAACCCGACTGTCTGGAAAAACCCAAAGGTATGACTGTCTTGTACATAAAATACTTCAAAGAATTAATTGCTCTGCAATTTACTTTTTGGTAGCTAAGCATGTAGGTGGCTATATATGTAAAGCAAATGGCACAATGTAAACAAAAATAAAGGTAAAATTCCCCCCAAATATAAAATTACTATGCTCTTGAAACATGACAACACGAACTCTTCAACATCAGCTGCTAAGGTTTGAGATCTGTGACATCCCATCCATGGGAAGCTGGACTGCCTATCTTCAAAACAATTGACCACATAATCATTTTGGCTTGATTTCTAAATAGTACACTCTTAATTCCAAAGTGAAAATAAAACCACTTGTCATAGTATTTTTGCTTCCCCCAAGTCTGGGTAGCAGACAAGTCAGTCGGGAAGCCAGGGAAGGTTTGCCGGTCCAGAGGTACACGGTCCAGTGGAGTAGCCATTAGCCACAGGTGGGTACAGAGCACGTACAGTGTGGCCAGTTGGAACTGAGATGTGTTCAAAGTATAAAATATTCACTGGATTTTAAGACATATTACTTCCCCAAATGTGAAACATTTCCTTTTTACTTATATTGTTTATATGTTGGAATGACAAATTTTGGTTAAATAAATTATATTACTAAAATTAATTTCACCTTTAAAAATGTGGCTACCAGAACATTTAAAATTACATGTCTGGTTCACATTATATTTCTATTAATCAGAACTAAGTAGTTACATAAGAAATACATTGATGTTGGCTCAGCGCCTGTGGCTCAAGCAGCTAAGGCGCCAGCCACATACACCTAAGGTGGCGGGTTCGAATCCCCAGCCCAGGCCCGCCAAACAACAATGATGGCTGCAACCAAAAAATGGCCGGGCGTTGTGGCGGGCGCCTGTGGTCCCAGCTACTTGGGAGGCTGAGGCAGGAGACTCGCTTGAGCCCAGGAGTTGGAGGTTGCTGTGAGCTGTGATGCCATGGCACTCTACCCAGGGGGATAGCTTGAGGCTCCGTCTCAAAAAAAAAAAAGAAATACATGGATGTTGTTTTGGCGCGGGGTGGGGTTGCCACCTTAATGTTGTTTGGGGGGCAGTGGTACATTTGGGGAATTGTGCTCTCATTTCAGGTCTTTGACCCCTTGAGGTTCTCTCCAGAGAATTCTGATCAGAGACATCCCCATGCCTTTTTACCCTTCTCAGCTGGACCAAGGTGGGAACAATTTGAAATTATTGAAAATACACAAACGTGTATACTTGGGAAAAACTTACTCCTTTTAGCCCCTCAGCTCTATACATTCTTCTGTGGAACCCCATCTTCTTACCTGGCCATGAGGTAGATCTTGGTGCCTATTTGAACCCCTAAAGCAGTGTTTGTTATTCAACCTTTTTTTATCTCACAGCACACTTGAACCTGAAGTTAAACTTCCACAGCACACTTAAATTATGTTGATAAAATAAGAGTAAAAATATAATATATTTGCTGTGCTTTGAACTTTTTTTGAAAATAACTTAATTAATGATTTTTAAAATTTTTCACAGCACACCTAAGATCCTCTCATGGCATACCAGTGTTCTGTGGTACACCAGTTGAAAATCACTGCCCTAGGGTGGTGCCTGTGGCTCAAGGAGTAGGGCGCCGGGTCCATATACCCGAGTGGTGGGTTCAAACCCGGCCCCAGCCAAAGACTGCTAAAAAAAGAAAATCACTGCCCCAAAGAGTCAGTGGGTTTCACAAAGAACAACCCCATTCTTTGCCACATCGTCTATAGCCATGTGCCAGAAAGCTATCCCGTGATATAAGCTGTTGCTGGTAGATTCAGAGCAGTCTTCCCTCAAAGCAGGGGAGACAGTTCTATGAGTAATTCCAACTGCAATCTTGTTCTGGGAAAGCCATCACATTAGAGCCTCCCAGCTCACATTCGTGCAGGGAGCAGTGTAAGTGTGAAATCCAAAAGCTTCAATAGCATTTAGTGCAGAGATGTTTTACGGTGTACTTCAGACTTGTTGTTCTAGTATTTTATTAAAGAGTTGGAAGAAACACCATTTCTTCAGCCATCACTTTCTTCCCTATGGTGTCTGCAGGAACTGCATCGGCCAGCAGTTTGCCATGGTTGAGTTAAAGGTGGCCATTGCCTTGATTCTCCTCCGCTTCGAAGTGTCTCTGGACCCCACCAAACCTGTTGCCTTCATGAACTGTGTTGTTCTCAAACCCAAGCATGGGCTCTATTTACATCTGAAGAAACTCCCTGAATGTTAGATCTCGGGATACAATGATTAAATAAATATGTTATGTTTTTAAGTTGAATTTAAAGTTCATGGTCCAAGTAAATGGAAAGGAATCCGAGTATGGTGGGAAGGTTAGAGAGAGGAGAGAGAAAGGTCTCTGTGAAGGTATACACTATCCACAAGACTTCCAGACAACACAGGATAGTTCCTTGATCTGTTTCTATATGATTTGAGGAGATTTTCATATTTTTTCTGCTTGATTTTGCCTACTATTAATGTTCTATATCAAGCACTTTGCTAAGTGATTTCCATATATTTTCTGTTGTTCTTAAAAATAGTTTTCATGCTGGATGTGGTGGCTCACACCTGTAATCCTAGCACTCTGGGAGGCCGAGGCGGGTGAATAGCTTGAGCTCATGAGTTCAAGACCAGCCTGAGTGAAAGCGAGACCCTGTCTGTACTAAAAATAGAAAAACTGAGGCAAGAGGATTGCTTGAGCCCAGGAGTTGGAGGTTGCTGTGAGCTATGATGCTACAGCACTCTACCCAGGGGGACAGCTTGAGACTCTGTCTCCAAAAAAAAAAAATGGTTTTCAGAAGTACAAAAGAAATAAAAGAATATATGCTCACATTTCCAACACTAGAAATCATGTAGAATAAAAATTTTAAATGCCATCTCACATAGCTCACATCCCATACCTTGACCAATCCTATGGCATTTCCTAAAAACAGAATCGTTTAGTGTATGTTCCTTCAGACATTTTCCTATACAACATTACATATGTGTGTAGGTGTGTATTCTTATAGATGGGATCATAGATAGATTGTTATTGCTTTTTTTCACTTAATAAAAATCTACCTCACTTCTTATCATGATTTTGTGGTATTCTGTAATATGGATCAATTCTAATTGCTTTAGCTATTTTCCTTATTGTACATTTAAATTATTTATAATTTTAGAAACATGTTTACTGGTCATTTATGTTTACCTTTGTTGTGTTCTCTGTAATTGTGCCCTGGTTTTCTATGAAGTTGTCTTTTCTAACTGATTCCTGTGAGTTCGTTATATATTGGGGATAACAATCCTTGATTATATCTTTTTTTAATTATTATTGGGGATTCATTGAGGGTACAAGAAACCAGGTTATACTGATTGCATTTGTTAGGTAAAGTCCCTCTTACAATTACGTCTTGCCCCCAAAAGATGTGGCACACACCAAGACCCCACTCCCTCCCTCCTTCTCGATTATAACTTTTCTTTATAATTTTTCCCATTATTTCACTTTTCAAAAAAAAAAAAAAAGCAGTATTTGGCCTGGCATGGTGGCTCATGCCTGTAATCCTAGCAACATGGGAGGCCAAGGCAGGTGGATTGCCTGCACTCACAGGTTCAAGACCAACGTGAGCCAGAGTGAGATTTCATCTCTAAAAATAGCCCAGCATTGTGGTGGGCACCTGTAGTCCCAGCTACTTGGGAGGCTAAGGCAAGAGAATCACTTAAGCCCAAGAGTTTGAGGTTGCCGTGAGCTGTGATGCCACAGCACTCCACTGAGGGCGATAAAGTGAGACTCTGTCTCAAAAAAAAGCTGTATTTATGATGTCTTTTACCCTATGGAACTTTTAAATTTTCATGAAGACAGACATATCAACTTTTCTTTATGGTTTCTGGGTTTTGAGTCTTGGATGACAACACCTTTGTTAGGAATATTATAAAGATATTCTACATATTTTTCTAATGCTAATCATTCTTGTTGAGCCTGAATGGAAATGTCTTAATGTTTTCCATATTCATCACTCATTTGAGCCTAATCAGAAATTTAGACCTATTTCAGAGGTGAAGCATGAGGTGAATTACATTTTAAGAGAGTTTTGCATCTACTATATAGAGAATGAATAGATTCTAGGGGGCCAGAGTGAGAGCAGGAAGACCAGTTAGGAAGCTATTGCAGTAGCAGGTGTGAGAGATGAGAGTGGCTTGCCAAAGCTGGTGGTGGTGGAATTGAAGGGAAATGAATGGGAGATAGATTTTGATGGCATTTGGTAGAGTAAATAGGACTTGTTAATTGAGGGGGTCAAGGGGGTCAAGACTTATGAAGGCAATGCAAGAGTTATGAAGACTGACCAAAGCTATCCTATGTCATCTTAGGAACACTTTCCGTAATGTGTGTGACCAGGCTGCTCTCACCATGCATCCATCAGTATTTTGCCTTGCTGGGCATTTTGATTACGGCAAAGTCCTGTGGTAAAAGCTGTACAGAAACCTGAGGCATCTAAAAAGGGGAGAGGTTAGTATAAGGAAGGAAGTGGCTTGTATAACCAAGAATTCTTTTAACTAGATAAAAGATCCTCCATCTTGGGTTTAACAAAACCCACATCCTGCTACTCCTCAAAGGTAGTAGCGCCAAATGCTCCGTATAAGAACATCTGGCAGGGTTTGAATAACTCTGACACACCTCCTATCTTCCCTTTGCCTTCTCCGTGTCCATATGTGCTATTGGGGGAGGTCATCAAGTAGCTGGGGGCACCTTTCCCTGCTCCACTGGTTTAATTGGTAACCTATAGCCAGTGCTTTAACACAAAGACAGAGTAAGTGGAAGCCTACTACCTGAACCAAAACCTACTTTCTTCTGGACTTATTAACCCATTGACACAACTCAGAATTTCTTTGCAAGTTGATAATTTTCAGAGTCCTTTCATCATAGTTGCATAATTGGATACATACCATTCACCTTGTGATGTATGTGGTGGTTTTATATTCAATTCCAAATGAGGAAAGGGAAGTTTGGTGATTGAAGGTGATCTACACAAGATATCTCAGTCAGGGAGTAGCAGAACCAGAAATCTGAAGACTTAACAATTCTTATGAATTTTGAGACAATTCTTAAGAGTTTCTAAGCCCTCAGTGCTTGGGCGCTATGATTTTTACAAGTGAGATGACAGTGACAGTGACTTGCAGTGACATCCATGTTGACATACGGAGATGGTGTTCATGACAGTTGCCCCAGGACTGTCTTCTGTGCCTACTCCAATCTGGTACCCATCTAGGCTCTTGCCTCTGTGTTTTGTTTCTTGTTTACAACTCATTATCTCACCAACTCCTGTCTCCTTTTCTCCTCAAGGAGGAGACCTAGATTATACTTTCCCTTAGGTCTCAGTGAGTTAATTCCACAGCCAATTTCTAGGCCAGTTGCCAGTTGGGGTTTTAAGCAGCCCCATCTGGTCCCTTTTGAAGGGGGGATCTGGACCTCTAGTTCTTCAACCTTTTCCTCATACATCATCTTCCTCATGTTTGACACCTTTCTGATTTGTCTGTTTTGAACTCAACCAGTTTGACAACATCCTCCTCAAATCATAATGCCTGGAAATGAACCAAGTACTCCAGGATAGTGTTATAATTTTATTCCTGGCGTTCAAAGCTTCTTCAAGTGCAGATACCAGTGGCACCTGATGAAAGCAGAATTCATCTTTATTCAACATTCTAGGTACTAGAGCATCCCCTAAGAATGGCTGACCTTGAAGCTTCCTCATTGCACAATTCAGATAGAATGCTATATGAATATCTCCCTCTGAGGTGCAGTATGGCTTCCTCCACAAGCTTTTCTAGAATATCTATTAAGAATATTGACTTTTAGGAGCGCAGCCATTTAGAAATCTTCTATGCCCTAAGCTCCCAGCTGATGAATAAAGCCCTTCCTCTTATAACTATGGTGTTTGGGTGCTCTTTCTCTCCGTTGGGCCTCGTCTTCCTGCAACATTTTTGGTTCCCTGACTGGGAAGCGAGATCACCCTTGGGGAGAACATGCACCTGGTAGTTGCCACCAATCCTCTGGACACTCCACGTGGGGGCCCCTGATCGGTCTGGGCGACATGAACCGCTGAGCGTGCCAGGGAGGCAGTTTGGCCTCCCTGTGTGGACACCTCGACTGGGCTGAGAAGGGACCCTGTTGGCGGGTCTTCAAGGAGTCAAACACCAAGAGGAACTGGCATGCAGGAACAGGTACCTACACAGGGAGACGTCTAAAGCAAGAAGTCAAGAAAATAATTCTCTGCCTTTTGAGCTATTTGTAGCTTTTCAAGCAATGTATGTACTTAGGAGCAGAGTTTGAAACATAGCATGATGGAGACACTGGTATTTTACTAAGGCTTTGGCTGGAATAGCATCTCCAGAGGTGTCCAGACTGCATTAAGGAATTAAGGTTGACTTTATAAGGCCCATAAAGAAAGCCCTTTGGAAAACTGGCCAGATACCCATCAGTAACCTTTCCTGATCTGTGGAGCTGTGGTGTGGGTCAAGGATTAGAACGTGTCTCCCCTGAGGGCGAGGTGAAAAGGCCCTTACAACGTTATCCTGACCACACCTACAGCTGTGAGAGTAGCAGAAATTCCTGCCCAGATCCATTACAGCAGAGTGAAGTCTGCCATGGAACCGAAGGAGAACCTGCCCCTGCCTAGGAAGAGCCAAACCGAGCAGGACGTGAACAATGGTAGCTAATCCTGAGTTCCCATGGCATGGGCTCCACACCGCAAGGACTCCTGAATTAGCAAAAGTATTGCCCAGAGAAATCATAGCATGGATTAGGTTGCCACTCTGGTTTAAATTTGACAATAGGCTAGCCTTCTTAACAGAAGTAGTGCAAATAATAAGCTAAAGCTTTGAATGACTTGTAGGCCTCAAAGCTTAGACAGGATAAAGTATATGGACAGGACCATAAGAGCAGAAATTGGTAAACTCTGCCAAAAAGCAAAACTTACTTAGATACAGGCCTTGCCACTGCTATTGTTAAAAGAGGCCTCTGTCAATTCTCTGCAATTTAGCAGGAACTCCTAAAAGAACTGAGAAAGAGTGAACTAAAAAGACAAAAACCCTAGAAAGAGTAGCAAGGAAAGTCTCCACTAGGGTAATTAACCATGTTCTGTTTAGTCTTTTGTGTGTCTGTACATCCTTTCTCTCTGGAGAATCAAGGGGACCAAGTCTAGGTCTAGAAATGGTCCCCCTGAAACCAAGGCGGAAAGGACTTTACACCATCATCCTGACCACATGCACAGCAGTGAAGGTGGAAGGAATCCTCACCTGGAATCATCACAGTTGGCTGAATAGAACTTCACTGCCCCTTAAAAAGTAAAGGTAACTTTTAAGACAGTCAACGTGCCCTGCTCCAGCCACATACTGGAAGCTGGCTGGTCAACGCACAGCTGAAGTCTGAGGAAACTCCTCGAGAGACTTGTCTTAATTAAACTTTGAACTTAGAGAAAAGAGAGGAAAAATGTCACAGGGGAAAATAAAATTTATATGTATGTTAGGCCACTACCACGGTACTATTAAGGCCTGAGTAGAGAACCCAAGA